ACTCCTACTGTCGCCCATTCATTAAATGCTTTGCGATTGTTCAAGGAGAATGTTTTAGAAGTAAAAGTATTATTAAATCCATTGCAAATAAGCTTAAATAATGTCCCATACAAAAAATTTGGATTATTTTGGTATGAAAGTAATGGAAGTTTTTTTACTATGTTACTTCTAAACTTCTCCAAGCGATGTGCATTTACTGGAACAAACGCTACTTTTTTATCTATTTGCATTTTGTAAACATAAGGTAATGAAACTAATTGTCTACAGTGATCAGAGCTCAATTTTTGAATTATACATTTAGTGAATGTTATCTATACATGTTGCACTAGATTGAGCAATACGTGTTAGCTCCAAAAATAAATTAATAAGACCATGAGATTTAAACAATGATCTAAATTTAATATTGGTGGAGGAAGCTTCTAGGAGATTGATATTAAAGTCTCCACATATTACAACAGATTTATACTGTTTATCAAGCTGTTTATCATATAAAGAACATGGGGGTCTGTAAACGCTTACAATAATGAGGTGCTCAAACTCAACACATGCCATTTCTACAGTTCGCTCAACAGAGAGGCTCACAATATATTTACGTTCTTTACATGATAATGCTTTAATTTTTCCTGGCGCAGGTGGAATTGAAGCCGTGGAAGAAGGCGGGCCTTCCGGTGGTGCCGCGGATGTTTGCGAATACGTTCCCGTGGCCCTCCCAATATGCGGCGAAAGTCGAACACCCCATTTAGATTTTAGATATTGATATGACAATACATTATATTGACAATATATTAAAATTAAATTGAATGTTATTGATCCTAATGGTTTCTAGTTAGTTATTTCTTTTTTTGAAACTCTCTCATTTTAATTTAGTTACATAACAAATTCAAAGTAAAAAAATATCATGAACCATGCTTAAATTTTTAATACAATATAATTGAAAATACATTAAAAACATTAATAATAACATACATAATATGTGCTAGGTACTTTAAAAAGTCGTCTAGATCACGAGCGTCGTCGTACTGTAATTTAAGGTTCTAAGGGAAATTAGCGTTGTAGAATATAGACTAATATCAAGTGTTAATTTTGCCAAACATTTGGAATTACATCACAATCAAATGCACAATGCGAGCCATGTTTGTCTCCATTTTGAGCTGTTATACGAAGAGCCAATATGTAAAAACTACATCAATGAAGAATATTGACCCCAATTCTTCCGTAAATTATTTACCCTTAAACAATTTGTATTTGGGTGTTAATTTTGCCAAACATTTAGAATTACATCGCAAACAAATGCCCCCGCAATAGCTTCAAGATATTTTTAAAAGGTGTCAAGAATTCTTAAGATCTTTGTGTGCAGTTCTTGCGAGTGCAACAAATGTTATGTTTGGTGAACCTGGTACTTCAATGTTGGAAACAATGAAAAATGAGAAACAGTTATATAAAAATGTTAAAAAATTCGATGACATTGACAATTAATACAAAAATGATAGTTGTAAATAATTGATTACATGTAGGGTTCATTAACAAATGTGTTTTAATTCGAATCAAAACATTACTCTAAAAATTTGTAGATTTTAAAATGCGACCTAGTAGATTTCAGTAGATTTTAGCAGTGTCTTTGGTAGATTCCCTCATTTACAAGTGGTCACGCTGCGTAGCTGTCAATGCAAATTAATGCAAATGTTAATCGTATTATAACTTGTTAGCATTAAATTGCTCATTTTCAATCATGAAGACGGTATTTTAGTAAATTCTTTTAAAAACTAGAAAGGGTAATTATTATTGCCACAATTTACGTAATAATGCAATCGATATTCATGATCGTACAGGCTCAAAAGCGCATAGAAAGGAATATTATACATCGAAAAAATAGTAGACTGTCTGCTTTTGACAATATACGAAACTTGCCCAAATGTGAAGTGCCCGACCCCGCGTCTGAGAGTCAGAAAGAGGTGGAACACAAAAGAATGCAGTTGGAGAAATGGAAAGAAGAAAAGGGGGAAAAAAGAAAAAGCTGCTGCACAATGAAAAACTTTTTGTTGCTGGTATTGTGCACCCCCCATTAAAATATGTTCCACCACCTCTACCTAGACCAATGCCTAGTACATCAGGAAGAGTTTCTCAGTCTATTAGATCAAATTGTCAAATTACACAGAAAAATTCCAAATGCTCAAAATCAACCAAACCTTTACATTCATTTAAAATGCAAAATAACCTACATAGTTGACATCAAATTATTTATTTTGCACTTTGTTTAACACTGAACATTGCAGCCCAGAGAACAAGTTACCAAAACTCACGCACACTAGTAGTTAATAAAGCCTTCTTTTGGCTAACATCTAGCACTACTGGGTCAAATGTTGTATCAATTTTTTTTCTCTTATTTTGTACCCTTGACAAAGTAGGAAGTTTTGTTATAATTTTTAGCTCCAGAGGTTTAAATGATGCATTACTTGGTGCAAATGAATGTAAAGGTTTGGTTGATTTTGAGCCTTTGGAATTTTTCTGTGTAATTTGACTATTAGTTCTAATAGACTGAGAAACTCTCCCTGATATACTAGGCATTGGTCTAGGTGGAGGTGGTGGAACATATTTTAATGGAGGGTGCACAATAATAGCAACAAAAGGTTTTTATTGTGCAGCAGCTTCTTTCTATTTTTTCTCTTTATCTTCTTTCCATTTCCCCAACTGCATTCTTTTGTGTTCCACCTCTTGCTGACTCTCAGACATGGGTCAGGACACTTCACATTTAGGCAAGTTTCATATACTGTCAAAAGCAGAGAGTCTACTACTTTTTCAACGATGTATCATATTCCTTTCTAAGCACTTTTAAACATGTAAAATCATGAATATCGATTGTAATATTATGGAAATTGTGACGATAATAATTACCCTTTTTAGTTTTTAAAAGAGTTTACTAACATACCATATTCATGATTGAATATGAGCAAATTAATGGTAACAAGCTATAATACGATTAACATTTGCATTGACAGCTACGCTCAGAATTTGTGTAGGTCTAGGTTTGTGCATATGCTTCTTCTCTTGATTCTTCAATAAAGAAACCATATCAACTCTTACAGGTTCAAAACCGCTTAGAAAGGAATGTTATACATCGAAAAAGTAGTAGACTGTCTGCTTTTAACAGTATGTGAAACTTGCCTAAATGTGAAGTGCCTGACCCAATATCTGAGAGTCAGAAAGAGGTGGAGCACAAAAGAGAGCAGTTGGAGAAATGGGAAGAAAAAGAGAAAAAAAAGAAGCTGCTGCACAAAAAAAAACCTTTTGTTGCTGGTATTGTGCCCCACCCCCCATTAAAATATGTTCCACCACCTCCACCTAGACCAATGCCTAGTATATCAGGGCGAGTTTCTCAGTCTATTAGAACTAATAGTCAAATTACACAGAAAAATTCCAAAGGCTCAAAATCAACCAAACCTTTACATTCATTTAAAACCTTGCGTAAAAAAAAAAAAAATACAACCTAAACCTACTAACACTAATTTTTTTTTTTTTGTGTTTTTTTTTTTTGTTGTCGCAAAAAAATGCAAAATAAATAATTTGATGTCAACTATAGTAGGTAAGTACCTACATAGTTGACATCAAATTATTTATTTTGCACTTTGTTTAGCACTGAACATTGCAGCCCAGTTAACGAGTTACCAAAACTCACGCACACTAGTAGTTAATAAAGCCTTCTTTTGGCTAACATCTAGCACTACGGGGCAAATGTTGTATTAATCTTTTTTCTCTTATTTTGTACCCTTGCCAAAGTAGGAAGTTTTGTTATAGTTTTTAGCTCCGGAGGTTTAAATGATGCATTACTTGGTGCAAATGAATGTAAAGGTTTGGTTGATTTAGAGCCTTTGGAATTTTTCTGTGTAATTTGACTATTAGTTCCAATAGACTGAGAAACTCTCCCTGATATACTAAGCATTGGTCTAGGTGGATGTGGTGGAACATATTTTAATGTGGGGTGCACAATACCAGCAACAAAATGTTTTCATTGTGCAGCAGCTTCTTTCTATTTTTTCTCTTTATCTTCTTTTCATTTCTCCCAACTGCATTCTTTTGTGTTCCACCTCTTGCTGACTCTCAGACAATGGGTCAGGCACTTCACATTTAGGCAAGTTTCATATACTGTCAAAAGCAGAGAGTCTACTACTTTTTCAACGATGTATCATATTCCTTTCTAAGCACTTTTGAACATGTAAAATCATGAATATCGATTGTAATATTATGGAAATTGTGACGATAATAATTACCCTTTTTAGTTTTTAAAAGAGTTTACTAACATACCATATTCATGATTGAATATGAGCAAATTAATGGTAACAAGCTATAATACGATTAACATTTGCATTGACAGCTACGCTCAGAATTTGTGTAGGTCTAGGTTTGTGCATATGCTTCTTCTCTTGATTCTTCAATAAAGAAACCATATCAACTCTTACAGGTTCAAAACCGCTTAGAAAGGAATGTTATACATCGAAAAAGTAGTAGACTGTCTGCTTTTAACAGTATGTGAAACTTGCCTAAATGTGAAGTGCCTGACCCAATATCTGAGAGTCAGAAAGAGGTGGAGCACAAAAGAGAGCAGTTGGAGAAATGAGAAGAAAAAGAGAAAAAATGAAGCTGCTGCACAAAAAAAAACCTTTTGTTGCTGGTATTGTGCCCCCCCCCCCCTTTAAAATATGTTCCACCACCTCCACCTAGACTAATGCCTAGTATATCAGGGCGAGTTTCTCAGTCTATTAGAACTAATAGTCAAATTACACAGAAAAATTCCTAAGGCTCAAAATCAACCAAACCTTTACATTCATTTAAAATGCAAAATAAATAATTTGATGTCAACTATGTAGGTAGGTACCTACATAGTTGACATCAAATTATTTATTTTGCACTTTGTTTAGCACTGAACATTGCAGCCCAGTTAACGAGTTACCAAAACTCACGCACACTAGTAGTTAATAAAGCCTTCTTTTGGCTAACATCTAGCACTACGGGGCAAATGTTGTATTAATCTTTTTTCTCTTATTTTGTACCCTTGCCAAAGTAGGAAGTTTTGTTACAGTTTTTAGCTCCGGAGGTTTAAATGATGCATTACTTGCTGCAAATGAATGTAAAGGTTTGGTTGCTTTTGAGCCTTTGAAATTTTTCTGTGTAATTTGACTATTATTTCCAATAGACTGAGAAACTCTCCCTGATATACTAGGCATTGGACTAGGTGGAGGTGGTGGAACATATTTTAATGGGGGATGCACAATACCAGCAACAAAAGGTTTTTTTTGGTGCAGCAGCTTCATTCTTTTCTTTTTCTCATTTTCTTCTTTCCATTTCTCCAACTGCATTCTTTCGTGTTTCACTTCTTTCTGACTCTCAGACATTGGGTCAGCCACTTCACATTTACGCAAGTTTCGTATACTGTCTAAAGCAGACAGTCTACTACTTTTTTGATGTATAATATTCCTTTCTAAGCACTTTTAAACCTGTAAGAGTCGATTTTGTTTCTTTATTGAAGTATCACGAGAAGAAGCATATGCACAAAACTAGACCTACACAAATCTTGAACGTCGCTGTCAATGCAAATGTTAATCGTATTATAGCTTGTTAGCATTAATTTGCTCATTTTCAATCATGAATACGGTATGTTAGTAAATTCTTTTAAAAACTAGAAAGGTAATTATTATTGCCACAATTTACGTAATAATGCAATCGATCTTACAGGTTCAAAAGCGCATAGAAAGGAATATTATACATCGAAAAAGTAGTAGACTGTCTGCTTTTGACATTATACAAAACTTGTCTAAATGTGAAGTGCCCGACCCAATGTCTGAGAGTCAGAAAGAGGTGGAACACAAAAGAATGCAGTTGGAGAAATGGAAAGAAGAAAATGAGAAAAAGAAAAGAATGAAGCTGCTGCACCAAAAAAAACCTTTTGTTGCTGGTATTGTGCACCCCCCATTAAAATATGTTCCACCACCTCCACCTAGACCAATGCCTAGTATATCAGGGAGAGTTTCTCAGTCTATTGGAACTAATAGTCAAATTACACAGAAAAATTCCAAAGGCTCTAAATCAACCAAACCTTTACATTCATTTGCACCAAGTAATGCATCATTTAAACCTCCGGAGCTAAAAACTGTAACAAAACTTCCTACTTTGGCAAGGGTACAAAATAAGAGAAAAAAGATTGATACAACGTTTGACCCAGTAGTGCCAGATGTTAGCCAAAAGAAGGCTTTATTAACTACTAGTGTGCGTGAGTTTTGGTAACTCGTTAACTGGGCCGCATGCAATGTTCAGTGCTAAACAAAGTGCAAAATAAATAATTTGATGTCAACTATGTAGGTACCTACCTACATAGTTGACATCAAATTATTTATTTTGCATTTTAAATGAATGTAAAGGTTTGGTTGATTTTGAGCCTTAGGAATTTTTCTGTGTAATTTGACTATTAGTTCTAATAGACTGAGAAACTCGCCCTGATATACTAGGCATTAGTCTAGGTGGAGGTGGTGGAACATATTTTAAAGGGGATGGGGGGGCACAATACCAGAAACAAAAGGTTTTTTTTTGTGCAGCAGCTTCTTTTTTCTCTTTTTCTTCTCATTTCTCCAACTGCTCTCTTTTGTGCTCCACCTCTTTCTGACTCTCAGATATTGGGTCAGGCACTTCACATTTAGGCAAGTTTCACATACTGTTAAAAGCAGACAGTCTACTACTTTTTCGATGTATAACATTCCTTTCTAAGCGGTTTTGAACCTGTAAGAGTTGATATGGTTTCTTTATTGAAGAATCAAGAGAAGAAGCATATGCACAAACCTAGACCTACACAAATTCTGAGCGTAGCTGTCAATGCAAATGTTAATCGTATTATAGCTTGTTACCATTAATTTGCTCATATTCAATCATGAATATGGTATGTTAGTAAACTCTTTTAAAAACTAAAAAGGGTAATTATTATCGTCACAATTTCCATAATATTACAATCGATATTCATGATTTTACATGTTCAAAAGTGCTTAGAAAGGAATATGATACATCGTTGAAAAAGTAGTAGACTCTCTGCTTTTGACAGTATATGAAACTTGCCTAAATGTGAAGTGTATGACCCATTGTCTGAGAGTCAGCAAGAGGTGGAACACAAAAGAATACATTTGGGAGAAATGGAAAGAAGATAAAGAGAAAAAATAGAAAGAAGCTGCTGCACAATAAAAACCTTTTGTTGCTATTATTGTGCACCCTCCATTAAAATATGTTCCACCACCTCCACCTAGACCAATGCCTAGTATATCAGGGCGAGTTTCTCAGTCTATTAGAACTAATAGTCAAATTACACAGAAAAATTCCAAAGGCTCAAAATCAACCAAACCTTTACATTCATTTGCACCAAGTAATGCATCATTTAAACCTCTGGAGCTAAAAATGATAACAAAACTTCCTACTTTGTCAAGGGTACAAAATAAGAGAAAAAAAATTGATACAACATTTGACCCAGTAGTGCTAGATGTTAGCAAAAAGAAGGCTTTATTAACTACTAGTGTGCGTGAGTTTTGGTAACTTGTTCTCTGGGCTGCAATTTTCAGTGTTAAACAAAGTGCAAAATAAATAATTTGATGTCAACTATGTAGGTTATTTTGCATTTTAAATGAATGTAAAGGTTTGGTTGATTTTGAGCATTTGGAATTTTTCTGTGTAATTTGACAATTTGATCTAATAGACTGAGAAACTCTTCCTGATGTACTAGGCATTGATCTAGGTAGAGGTGGTGGAACATATTTTAATGGGGGGGTGCACAATACCAGCAACAAAAAGTTTTTCATTGTGCAGCAGCTTCTTTCTTTTTTCCCCCTTTTCTTCTTTCCATTTCTCCAACTGCATTCTTTTGTGTTCCACCTCTTTCTGACTCTCAGACGCGGGGTCGGGCACTTCACATTTGGGCAAGTTTCGTATATTGTCAAAAGCAGACAGTCTACTATTTTTTCGATGTATAATATTCCTTTCTATGCGCTTTTGAGCCTGTGGGCGTTTTTCAAAAAAAATTGTCGGTGACGTAGTTAGAATTCCACTTATATGAGTTTTAACATTTAGCTTCAAAATGTAATTAAATTGATAAAATATAGTATGAGCAGTATGAAAATAGTATTTTTTTAAGAAAATAATAATGAATTTTGAAAATAATTACAACTTTAATTAAATTATGTTCTCAAGAAATTCCATTACGTTACTAATTTTAAAATAGTTTTCATGAAAACTAAAAGAAGTTCAGTATTTTTAACTTTATTTATGAAAAATAAACACAATCTGTTTTCTAAAAAATATTGATAATTCAGCATATTAGATCTAATCAAAAAATGTTTTAACAAAGATATTCCTTACGCTACTTTTGGGTACTTTGTACTATATTTTTTTCATCCTAGAACGTCAAATATGAGAAATATTCTTTCAAAAGTTTAATTATATCAAATTAAAAATTTATAGTAAGCTATATTGAACAAAAACAGTCAAATTTCTTTGAGATCTATTAATTAGTCTTAGAAAATAAATCACAGTAATAATAGGACAGTGACGTTAATGTAATTCGAAAATAACGTTTAGGAACTATAAGGCAACGTCTATATGACTCTCAATTATGACAACAATTATGGTAACTTGTACTTATCGTATTAAACATAATATTACTAGTATGTCATTTAAGAGCGTTTAAAACGTACGGCATTTCATACAAACTTTCAAGTCCTTGTTTTCGAAATGCATGTACCGATTTTAATGAAACTTCACACGCATAAGCAGGACACATAGTTCTAAAAAGTTAGTAAAGAACATTTTTGAAATGTCTTATTTAAAACAAGATAATTGGAAATATCTGTTTCTATGGAAAATTTAAAATCAGCTGAATCTAGCTGTAACATTATTTTTCGAAATAGTTCTCATTAACTTTTTGGACCTATATATCCTGCTTATGCATAGGAAGTTTCATTAAAATCGGTTCATTTATTTCGAAATATAAAGACTTGAAAGTTTGTATGAAATGCCGTACGTTGTAAACGGTCTTAAACTGTAACAAAAAACTATTCATCAGTCCCAAGACAAATCGAACAAAGGTTGAAAAGGTTGTTCCGCTACATATCAGGCAAACCCAATTTTTACATGCATTACATTTTACCATTCTTTGTATAACAAAAGGCTCATGGCAATTGTTATCTGAAACAGATACGAATGATTGGGATAGATTTTTCCAAAAAATTACATCACAATGTAAAGTGATCGTGTTTTTGGAGGCACCAAAGTGCATTGATTGGACTTCTTCACTATATTTACATTCAAAATTCTCTGAAAAGTCGCATAAAATGAGTATCTCGTCATCTTACATGTTCTTGATACAATTTCTGTATTGACGTTGTTGTTCAATCCAAAAGAAATGAGTTTTAAACGCCGGTAGCTCGTTCTGAAAGTTGGTGATGAAAGTACAGTTCCTTTTACTTGTTGTTTGGTGGTCTTTTTAGTTGTATATACTTTGCCAGATATTTCATATTCATGGTTTACCCTAGCCCATTTGAACCATGATATAGCAGAATCGAGGTTTTGTTCATCATATGAAATACTCTTACAATCTTTACATTTATTGTACATGCAGTCATAACGCGTAATATCACATGCAACGATGTTCAAGAGCTCCTTTATATTCTTGTAAGTTATGACATCTTTACACTTCAATGCATTAAACATGTACTCAAAGTTACTGTGCTTAATACATAAGCAGGTTTCTCTATTATTGATACTTGGAGACAGTACATAATAAGGCTTGTATCTGTAAAAGGTGGTGAAGCCGCATGACCCACCGTCTTTTTTATAAATTTCGTATACGTTTTTCAGTGTGTCGACTAAGTATCTTATTTGTGCTTTTTGTTTGTCTTTGGACCTGGTTTCCTTCTTACCAGCTGTGCTTTTACTTATGTAGTCTCTCAAATAAAAAAGTTCTATTTCTTCCTGAGTCTTCTTATTTATTGGTCGTTGTAAATTAATCCTTTTCCTGATTCTTTCTTTAAGACCTAAAATCTTACTTTCAGGTGCTTTTTACAATATATGCGCCTGTTTCCTAATCACGTTTTTAACTAATTGTTTTTCTTTATTTTTCTTACAATTCCTGTACGTACTACGAATTGATATTTCCATTATTTCTTGTCTTGCTTTCAATTTATCGTTTTCTGTGTTCAATAAATCAAATTCGGTTTCATGTTTTTTTTTTCATTCGGCGTAATTTCTTTCTCAGAGTCTGTGTTGTTGTATTATATTGACGAATCGTCTTGAAAGCCTTTTTGTAGTTATTTAACAATTTTCAGTACCTAATTTTCAATGAATGTGGAGCTGAATTATTGGATGCGTCACGTGATTGCCCTGATTGTGGATTCGGTTGAGTGTTTTTGTTTTCGTTTTTGTTCTCTCCAGAGTTTTCTTTTTTCCATTTTCTCGTCCTCAGTGAGCTTTTTAATCCTCTTTTGGTGCTTTTTTTGTCTTCGTAATTCCTTCTTCTTAAATTCTTCATATTTTTCCGGGTTTTGTTTGATTTTTTCTCGGTACCGTTTTGACTTTTCTGCAGCCGTCAAGGGCATATTTAAACCTAAAATCAATAGTGAGTTATCATAATGTACCCCGTACGAAAAATCTCAAATTTTTGTGAAAAAATTTATATAGATTTACAAAAAGCGTTGCGTGAAATATTTGTCAAAATAAATGTGATAACTGTTTATCAAATATATTTTCACGCAAAAAACAAAAAATTTTCATTCAGGATACCATTAAAATTAAACACTAAATGCAGCCATTTCAACAATATAACGTAATAACTATCGTTATTTCACTGTTATTTTTCTAATGTTATCCTGAATGGAGTGTTTTGAGCTGAAATATCTAGTCGAAAAATCTTGTTTGATTTACACACGAAATTAAGTAATAAGCAATTCATTTAAAAAATTCAAGGCATTTTATTATTATTTTAATCATACTTAATTTATTTAGACTTTAGAACACTAATTAAAACAATGACTTTATGAACCGACCTTTAGGATTCCATTACGTCACTTTTGAGTTCCATTCATGCGATAGTAGCGCTAATGGAGGTAACGTAACCATGCCAATAAAATTTTCAAATGAATTTACTAATTAGTTATCAAACTTTTGTTCAATATAACTTAACATTTCAAATAACAATAAATTAACATGTTTAATAGAAAATAGAATGAAATACACATGAATACGTTACCTGGAGAAAA